TTCTTTCCACACACAATCTCACTCACACACGCCATCTAACCAAGTCCTTTAACTTTATTATATAACAGTTACTTAAGATTTTATCCGGTAGCAATAAAAGAATATTTAATAATATAATTAGGAAACATTTTGATTACATGTGCACCAATTTAATCTTGCTGCTACAGAAGTTAATAAACCTACTGCAGCTCCAGATGGTCCAAATAAAAGTATACCTAGTCCTGTAGCTCCCAAAGATTGTAAAGTAGCAAATAAAGATCCAGCTGTAACAGCACCAATAGACGCTTGCCAAGAAGCTGCAATTGAACCAGCTGAAATACCAGCTAAACCAAACCCTAATAAAGGAAGTGCGGCACATCCTATAATTCCTCCTGCAACTGTTGATCCTATTATTATTTTTCTTAATTTTTTAAGATTTTGTTCATTTGGAATAGGTCTATTACAATTTCTACATCTAATAAAATTTATTATTGGCATTTTATTTAAATTTTAATAGTTATTTTTCAATATTAAATAAAAGTTATTTTTATTATTAATTTTTCTAAAGATAATTCACAAGGATTATCACTACTATAAAGATGAATTTTCAATAATATATAATCTTTCAAGGTATATTCGTACTAAGCTATTCAATATTTTAACTTTTTATTTTCTTAAATGTGTATTCAGTATGTTGATTTTACTATGATTTTAACGTATTTTATGACGAATTTATTTAAAATTCTATCGAAGAGGTAATACCGCATAATACAAATTGCACTTGTGCTTATAATATTACACTTTATCTAAGACCCAAACGGCAATCATCTTATTCTTACATTTACTAAAAATTTAACTTTACGTTAAAATAATGAAATCCACAGCCGCATATACTATTAATCTCTAACTTAAGGTACTTTTATTACCGGATTACTTAAATGAAGCCAGTCCTTATACTCGTAAATCGCCGGATGCAATATTAACATATAGCGTACACATATAAATCACATTGATATATTCCTTCCAATCAAAAACGTCACCGAAGCATGCAGAGTCAATTACGTCTTCTTCTCCTGTTGCTTTGGATTACAAAAACCTGTTGGTTCTTAGTAACTTGCTTCTTTGGTGTTTCTGGACTTTCAATGTGGCCAGAAGTTTAGACGTAAATTCCCCAGCTTGTTGTCCATTCATTCAGAAATACAGTCCGATGCACCTAAGAAGAATCCCAAGTTTAATAAACTTATATTTACAATCTTATGTTTAAGTTAATCTGCGCTAATTTTATATATTTTAGCATTTTATTAATAACTTTAAAACACAAATAATACTAATTAGATATTCTACTGAAAGGTGATCCTGTAATTTTAGACAATATAGATTAGTTATCATTTTTTTCCTGGGGATTTCCAAAAGTGGGTATCCCCAAAAGATGTAATTAATATCATGGATCTGATTTCCGCATGAACATTCTACAGAATCTAATAATTTACATATAAATTTCCTTTTATTGGTCCATACCAACACAATAACCAATCTAGTAAGTATTCTTTTGTCAGATCTTTCCGTTTTAAATTTATAAAGAAATTTTATTGGTCTTACAGAAAAATTTGATATAGTATAAATTATTTGATGGACTAATCTTTATTGATTCGATAAATGATTTATTTATGGATTCGTATTCTGTCTCAATATTCATTAATACTTCAGTAAATGAAACCTTGTTATTAATGCAAATACCTGAGCAGCTTTTTTTGGCGGCGGTATCCGCTAACTCGTTTCTTAAGATACCCTTGTGTGCTGGACACAACGTAAATCTGATATTTATGTCGCAAGAAATATATAGTAACAAATTTTATTGAAAAGATCTCTTATAATTATGAGATTTAGGCTCCAGAAAGAGGAAACTTTGCTTTTAACTCTTTGAAGTATACATTTTTCCTTATAACTACGATTGACTTAAAAATTGATATTTGGGAGTTTTCGAGATTGCTGATTACAAATCCGTGATCAAATTCCCGAAATTCAAGATGGCGGATCCAATATGACGGACTTAAATTTGAAAAACGATGCAAATGTCATGAAAATATATTTCTGGAGGTCGCTGATTACGAATCCGGAATCAGATTCCTAAAATTCAAGATAGCAGATTCAATATGGCGACTATAATCCAAAAAAACAGTGATGATCCAGTGTAAAATCGCTAAATCCTCAGATATACGTTTTTATAAGATTTGCATTGTTTTTTTAATTCGGGTCCGTCATATTGAATTTCAGGAATCTGATTACGGATTCGTAATCAGCGACCTCGATAACCTCCAAAAATACATTTTTATGACATTTGCATCGTTTTTCGAATTTAAATCTGCCATATTAAATCCGCCATCTTGAATTTTGGAAATCTGATCACGGATTTGTAATCAGTACCGGTATGAAGCCAGCTGTCGGACTAACGATTTTAATAATTTCAAATACGCCATTCGATTGCTAGTCGTTTGCTAATTTTTGCATCTATTTTTATTTTGTTTGCATATTAATTATTTTGGGCAAAAAATCGAAAATAAAATTTGGACAAGTGTAACGGATGTAATCGCTATTTGGAACCTTTATCTCATGATTTCATGAATATTTCGGTACTAAAACGTTTGCTAGTCGTTTGCTAGATCCATATATACAAGTATTTTTCCTATTTTATCGA